AAAGCAAGAGGTATGTATCAATATTTGATAAGAAAAAGGGACGCTAAAAAAAGGATTGTAAACTTTTCATTATATATTATTTTACTTCCAAAATGAAGTCAATCTATGTTCGAGCAAAGCATGCATGGTATTGCAACAAATATTTTTCTCTTGACTCAATCTCAGGCGGAAATTTGTCGCAGTGGAAATTCCCGCCCCGGCACCTCCGTCCCCGTTTGTAAATTTTCCAGATTGGACTAGGCAGGAAGCAGGCTAAAAGAAAAATACAAATGAATAAAGGCTGATAGTTTCGAAAGAAACTGTTTGGGGCTGCGTCGGTGGGAGTAACGAAATAATTTGGATATATCAACAAAGTTGAAATGGTAAATTGGCCACCGTAACGATTACAAAAGCTGACGTTTCGAGCGTTAGCCCTTCGTCGGAGCGAAAGACGAAGGGCTAACGCTCGAAACGTCAGTTTTTGTAATCGTTACGGTGGCCAATTTACCATTTCAACTTTGTTGATATATCTAAATTATTTCGTTACTCCCACCGACGCAACCCCAAACAGTTTCTTTCGAAACTATCAACCTTTAAGCATAGTTAATCGTCACTCTCATTTTCATTTGTTAATCTGCTCCTCAAATATAAGACATTCATATATTCTCAGTCGGCAAGGGATGTCACAAAAGGGGAGATAAAAATTTTGTGTTTTCTGAACATTCTACTTCTTTAATTTTTTTCTCTTGTGAAATGACTTTTTTTTTAATTTCTTGTTCGACAAGGATTGTCTAACGCCGGGTCACATCGAAGGACTTCAGAATTTAGTCGACCCTGGATGCATCAGCTGGACAAGGAATGAACTGGATTTAGAACAAGCCTCTAAAGCGTCGTGTATTATAGCACTCTGTGGTTGGAGGGGCAGGTAGTTATTAGCCTGCGAGTTGGCCGTCATTGTTAGTGCATCCGCAAGGGGCGTTTCTTCGCATGCAGTGAAATATAAGGCCTTGAGCAACGCAGGCCAGTTAGAGGTCTACTAGGGGCCTGGCACTGGTTATGCTCGTCACGCGAGCGGAGCAACGCGCGACCTCCAGCGGTAGGAATGAGATCCTGGTCGCTGGCTAAGTGTAAGCAGTTGTCTGCATTGTACACAATATCTTATCCCTCTTGAAGTATGGTCATTTACTTGAGGGTAATGGTGAAAAGTAAAACTTGTGGTGACCATGTGGAAACTCCCATTCTGAGCTGATACCACATGATACCATAAAAGCATACAATGCAGAACTCTCAGTTTGAATTTTGTTAACCTTTAACGTGATTAAGGGAGAGATAAGTACACATTTTGGCTGCAGAGTGAACTTTGAATTTTTCAACTTGCCGTATTTGAATCAGTCTGCAGAAAAAACGTCTCTTTTTGCGTGTTTTCCTCCCCAAACCAGTGGAGGCCAGAGTAAGGCGAATGCATCAGCCATGTTATCTGCAGTTGTTTTCGCCGTCTGAAACTAACGAAAGTGACAGCTATTTTGCAAGCTCTGTTATATCATACCACCAGTGGTGCGTTTTCCATTTAATCTTTGACTTTAGTTTTCAAACCTTATTCAACAAATATGTTTACATCATGACACACTACATGAAGTCCGTCCTTTTCGTTGAAGTCCGTTGCGTGATTAAGAAAAAATTAGCGGGAAAAACAATTTATATTAGTACACCGCGTGGAACTATGGGAGTAAGGCGCTCTAAAAGTATTAAAAGTATCACTCCTAGAATTCTAATCGGTGCGCCGACATCAATTTTTTTTTGCTGATATTTTTGGCTCGCGCGACGAAATTTGACGACTGTTCGTTGTCAAACGTCGGTAGTGATATACAATTTTTTCAACGCACGCAGTAATTTATTTTACTTATCTTCCGTAGCATCACAAGTGATCCAGATGTGAATACCATCTCGTGTTCTCTGTGTCGTCGAGAGCTAGGTGTGTGGAATTTCTTTCCATTGACGCACGTCGCGACAGAACAAGATGATGCTCCGTCATATCTTGACACCGGGCAACTGTTTGAAGAGGAAAGGAGTTTCAGAAACATCACAGACCAGGAAGAGTCAGGCAGCAGAGAGATTAGTGGAGAAGGCGACGATCAGCGGACACGGTTGGCGGGTGGTGAAGGGTGTGGCACGGAGGGGGACAAAGGCGACCCCCCAGAACCCATGGAAGAGGGTGGTAGTTTCGAAAAAGGTGGCAAATCCTCAACAGAAGATTCCACAATAGAGAGACTTTGTGAATCAACAGAGACTTCAAATACATTGACTGTTAAATCGATATCGGAGCCAATGGGGCTCAAGTCTCCACTGCATCGATCGTTGTCTAACTTGCCTGGTGAAGAAGCAACTGAATCCCTCTGTGTGGAGGTGGAAAATGAAAGTCTCACAGAGAGACTCCAGGATGTGGAATCTGAGCTGGAGTTTCTGGGGTACGGCCGGCAGGGTGTTACTGTTGGCAACGACGGCCGGCCTAGAGCGAAAAAGAGGAGACTGCAGGTGAGTTATTTAATGAGTAACGCTATTGATTTGTGTGCGGGGTTCAGATAAACGACCAGGCGCTTGTAACGCTAACTTGTCCAAGTAAAACCCCAGCGCAGCAGGCTATGAGGTACATGGTTGACGTATTGACTGTAGAACATTTGTGAAGTTTTGCAGGCCTAACAGCTGACGATAAGAACGTATCTTCTAAATTGTCTCCCTTTTCTCGTAGGAGATCGAAAGGAACACTTTTCACGTGTTATCAGAGCACCGCACGTGGTGTCCGTGGGTAGTGACTATGCGGGGTAGTGACGGTAATACTACGCCACCGGGGTGGAAGGTTCTTTTGGGAACACTTCTTCCTTCATTGAGTCCATCGGCAACACACTTCATTCATGAGGTACCACTGACATATTCAGTAGTTACTGTCCGAATACCTCCATACCAGGCTTCCCAAGGATGCTCCAACCTCGTGCTATAGCACCTTTCCTGTGTCCACCTGTGGAGTGAAAGAGGGGGAGTAGGGAGGAAAATGAGATTAGGGTACCCTCGAAGGGCAGAAATATTGACACAACTGTAGCAGGGTCCTTACAAGAATTTTGTAAGTGGGGGTTTGTCCAAGCCGGTGAAAGTGTCTTATAAAGGAACCTTATGAAACCTTTCACTCGCCGGATTCATATGTGCATAAATTCACTTCGCAATCGCAATATGCAATCGAGCAAACAGTAGGTAAGAATTAAGGAAAGTGTCATTCAGAAGATGTTAAATGCAAAACTAAATTGTTATAGCCAGTGAACATGATCTGTTTGCTCATCAGCTTGGAGAAATTACTTTCCGATCACGATGGTGAAATGGTGAAGTAGAGAAGTATATACGGGCTCTTGCGCGTTCTTAGTCGTTTCCTCGGACGCGTTGAAACGGGAACCGCGCCATGATTGGTTGAGGTCTTGAGCTGTTAGGCGACCAATGACGGCCGAGGGCGGGAAAACTAGTGTGTGCACAATCCTTGTCGCTTCAGATTGGCTGACATAAAATCAAGCTGTTTATGATTGGTCGGAGCAAGAGTTAGCTCTTTGAAAGCATCCCGCAATCAATTTAGAGGTTTTGAAAAGTGAAAAAGAATAACAAGAAAATCTATAATTTTTGTTTCAAATGTAGACTCCTCCGCAAGACGCGTGGAAAACAGTCAGAAAGTTACTCGGCGAGTGCTACTCCCCTGCAAAACAAACTTGAGGTCAAGAAGGACAGCCCGTGAAAGAAAGAGAATATTAATTATGGGGAGAAGAAGAAACAATAGTTCATGGTTCAGAGATTCCCGGATGTCACGTTGTTCGTGATTTAGCTTCAACTCATGTTGTATAAAAACCATGTTCGAGTAGCTACTTCTGCTCTTTTAACAATACTGCACAGTCAATGGAAAATATTGACATTCAGTCCTTTGCGTTACAGCATATTTAAAGGATTACTGTTTAGATTGAAAGGCTGTTATTTAAAGGCCCAACGAAACGCACGCAAAATTTCAAAGCAACATGTTGCAACTTTGTTGGAACGTGTTGCAAGATGTTTTTAAAAAGCTGGCCAAACGTGCGCAACATCTTTCAACATCCAAAAATGTTGCAAGAAAAATTTTAATACTTTCAAACTTGATCCAACATGGCCAAACGTGTGCAACACGTTGCGCGTAACAATGTTGCCAGATGTTGCGTTGAATTGTTGCCTGCGTTTTTTCCGGGCCTTTCAGATATCTTAAAATGAATGTTAACACTATTGTGTAACATGGATGGCGTGATCAATTGATAGCGAAAGTCGTCACGCAATTGTGAGGAGGAAAGTATCATCGAGAAATTTTTCAACGTAATCAGTGTGACAGACCCTAAGGATGAAGCCACTGTGTGCGTTACAGGCTGATTTGGATTATAGAGGACCAAATGATGTGGCAATGAACATAATTTGAGTGTCAGTTTTATTGTTTTAGTGTAGAACATTGTAAGAACAGACCATGCTGTTGGGATCTCATGATCATTTGTAAACATCTCCTGTAAGTTATTTTACAAATGCTGAAAAGTTAGAGGTTATTGATGTCTTTTTCTGTGCTTATAGAGCGCTTTCCGAGTGAGTGTCGTTAAACCAAAACCAAAGTAATTAGCGCGGCCAATCAGACGAAAGGAAAATATTCCGAAGAGCCAATGAGAACTCAAAGTAAAAACAAGCAAACTGCTAAAGGGCGGGAAAACGCGGCCGACCAACTCGTGATTGGTGATAGTCTTGCTTTTGATTGGTTGACAGAGTGGTGCGAGTTTTCTGAACAATCACGGATCGAACTAAGAAGAAAAACTAATGAAATCGCAAATTACTTCAGACACTATTGAAAATACCTGTAATTTCGGTCAGCTTTAGGTACCCGATTACAAGTAAGTTTATGATAACTCTCTTCCCTGGCCGAAGGAAAGACAGATAGATAAATGATCGGACGGCGCATGGGCGGAAGGAAGGACTTGCGCGCGTATAGTTGTACAGACGGAGAGACAGACGGACGAAAGAAAAGTGATTTTTCCTTTTGACAGCGTTATCCGTCCTTTGAACAACTGGGCCCAGCACTGCATTGCTTTCTTAACAGTGGTCATGACAGATAATGGTTTGAGACCAGAATTTTACCTCGGGACTGAGATTTGGTGCCCTACGCTTATGCAGCATTTTCGTTTCATTATTCTTGACGTACGGACAATGAGGGTTTTAAAAAAGGAAACGAAACTTAGCAAAATTTAAACCAAGAAAAACTGTTTTGAACATTTGTTGACTGACGTTTGAAGATTGATCGTGTCATTTCTCTTCTATTGATGCGGAAATGTTTGTAAAAGGTTCTGGAAACAAATTTATGAATAATTTATGCTTAATAACTTTTTTAGTGGCTTATCCGTTTTCTGCTTATTTGGGTAAGGAGCATGTATACAAAAGACAGTGTCTTTAATTCGCTTTGGGGTGAGGGGGAACCTGATGAAGTGGGAGTGTGTGGCTGAAACAGCAGGGGGCAGTTGCGGAAGCTTTCAAGGGGTTTGGGCCAATGTTTCATAAGAAAATCAGAGCAATTTTCAATAGCCCATTTTCAAATTACCTTTCTTACCTCTTCTTTAAAGCGATTCCTGATGCCTATCCTTTCATATGATAACAAGTTTTCATCAAAATGTGAATTAAACTCATTTTTGCAAGAATGGTTAAGCACTAGGCCTCGTTTTGAAAAAGAGATCAAAAGGTAATTCGGAAATGGTCTATTGAGCGTCGAAAGTAATCCAGGAATACTTAAGTTATTGCTTCACTCTTCTCTGTGATTGGTCTAGAAAACTCGCCCCACCATCACGAGCGAGATCTAGTCGTGTTTTGGTCACCGGCGTTTTCCCGCGCTTCACGTAGTTTGCCTGTTTTCACATACTTTGCCTGTTTTCAATTTCAGTTCTTATTGGCTACCTGTGATGTTTTTCTTTCTTCTGATTGGCTGTTGTGATGACTTTGGTTTAGCCATCACGACACTTAATCAGAAAGCGCCTTATTAGTGCGGAAAGGTGGAAAATCTTAAAGGAGCGATGATAAACCAAGAAGGTACATGAATGCAAAGGAAGGAAAAAAATTAAAACTCGCTTCACCCTCAGAGTTCTGCTTCGCGTGCGAACAACTATTTTTTTTTTTCGCACGACGGACTTCATAATAACATAATAATTCAATATTTGTATTGCGCAAATTAACATTTGCATATGATCAAATGCGCATTACAATTTTCATTTAACAGGCCCAGACCACAACATCGGGAGCTACGTTCCGTACTCTTTGCGATAAGTGTGTAGCTACTTTAACGTTCCCTGCGAACCAGTACAGAGAAGATACAGGAGAGGGGGGCCTACGGTTTTTCGTCCTTACCCAAGAAGACTAGAATGTCTCACCATTTAGTAAATAAACCCCTTCGTGCGGCTGGTATGTTGGCTGATAATGTCCGCGGCTGAGAGATTGTCCGAAAAATGAATATTTGGCCGAGAAGCGAAGCTTCGAGGGCAAATATGAAATTTTGAGGACAATCTCTCAGCGAAGGACATTATCAGCCGACATACCAGCCACCCGAAGGGATTTATTCACTAAATAACTTTCCTGTGATTTTGCACCACGTGACGTAAAGTAACCAATAAAATCGCGCCAAAATTAATGGGTGGGTTATAATTGCAGATATCATAGCAAAGCCAGCACATTTTCCTCAGTTATTTTAATTAAGTGGCCAATTTACCATTTCAACTTTGTTGATATATCCAAATTATTTTAATTAAGACCCTGAGTGTTAGTCCGGTCTGGGGGCTCGAACCATCGACCTTCCACACGGCAGGTCCGGCGCTCTACCACTCGCTGGGGTCCCCCCTTTGGATAGATAGATAGATACTTTATTATAAACACCTTGCAGCCATAGGCTGAATTACGGAATATTTACAAATACAGATGATAAAAAAAAGGGGTATAAAATACTACAACTTCGTCGTTAAGAAAGAAGGAAAATTATCTACATCTTATAAATATGGCTAAAAATAAAACTGTTCTTCAAGCGCTCGGTTTTGCATATGGGGAGAGTGAAATCCCTTTTGCGCCTCAGTGCGTATCTACAACTCTTCCTTTGGGGAAGGAGGCTGTGCAGTCTATGGGTGGGGTTACGGACTATCTCGTCAAACAGATTGGTTGAAATTTTTTCCCTCCTCTCGTGAAGATATTTCAAACAATCAGTGACATCGAATGGAATGTTACCTTAAAGGAAAAACAAACAAACAAAGAAACAGAAGGAGGCTAAACAAAAAATTGCTCCATCTAAACCGTTTAATCGTCTCACTGTCATGCGCTCTGGCGAAGGGCTAACGTTAGAAACGTCAGCTTTGAGTCTCTGCGGTAGCCAGTTCACTTTATCAACTCAGTCTATAAAACGGCAGAATTTCCTACAGCTGCATTTCTTTTTCTATCATTCAGAACTTGCGTCAGTGACCCTTTGTTATAAAATGAGAAATGCTCTTTGACCGAATGAAACCGAAATCTATCGACCTTTGAGAGTCCCTTTTAGCAGTTTCAATTTTATTTTTGAGGAAAGTTTTGAATATCTCTGTAATGTCTCTATTGTGCGTCTCTTGCTGAGTATATACCACATGTTTTGGGTCTCTTGCAGTGTTTTCCAAGATCGTGATGTTAAGAACAAAACTTTTTTATTTTCATTTTCATTTCTTTATTCTCAGTATTCCGCCTTCCGGTGTGGTCTCATTTCCGCTCACGAGCTAGATGGGGGCGGAGCGTAGCTATTCACGTGATCAAAATAATAATGTTACGTCAACAAACCAACCAGAGACTTTTATCGTCCATTGTTGCCTGCGAGGAAGGGAGAAATAAAGAGGGATTTGAGCTTGTAGGACGGATATTATGTCGTCTCCATCGCCTGGGAAGAGACGAATAGACACTGATGTCATCAAACTGTATCCTTGTCAAAATTTGCGCGTGATTTTAGCCTAATTCATTTTGTTTTCGGGAGGCAAGTTGCGAGCCAAAATGGCGCTCGCTTAGTGATCGTTTTGTATTTATGGTACGAACGCTGCTTTTATGACAATATTCCTTGACGAAGTTGTTATCAGGATCGAAAGTAAGCACGAAGTGACAATACTTGGTGGATTGAACGAGTTCATTGTGAAGTTCTTTGGTCCAAGTGGATGTAAGTCAAGCTAAGAATTCGTATGTTTTCGGTCTAGAAGTCTCGTGTTCAGAACACTTTGTTTTCATTCTTGATCGGTTGTGCAGTGAAAAATTTACGTCGGAGAAATTCTGATGACACAACTCTTGTAACAGTGATATTCCGTTCAAATACCGGCGTTTATGTGCGGGGAAAGATTTAATTGCCTTGTCAAGCTATGTTAATCCAGCCATTATAAATTATAAATCGATAACTTGAAGACATTTTTGCACGAACAAGAAAATTTAAAATTGACATCGGAACCGGCTGAAAACATCCAGTACTCAGACTCCTAGAATTCGATCCGTCTGTTGAGTAATTCTCCTGATAAGGAAATGAACGAAGACCGATACTGGTTCAAAGACAGTGAACAGCGATTTCTACGTAAGTTGTGCTCGCAATGTTTGTTGTTGGAAGGGAAAAAATGTTAAATTACCGTGTTTTCGTGGAATTTATAGAATGTATTTGCATGGCCGTTCGCTGTTGTAAACATTAACAGCTGATGCGTTGTTTTGCCAGCCGGAAAAAAGAAATTGAATATCCCAAGGCTGTCTTTGTCTTCACATAATTATTGCAACGATACCTTTAGAATTTCAGCTCATTATTCAAAAATCGTCTTTTATAAAATCGATCTTGAGAGATCTCTCTCCAGCTTATTATGCGAAATACTTAATAGGTTAGTGTGTTGATGAGCTGGTTACCAATTAAACAGAAAACAGACGATCTCAGCTATAAATGACAGTCGATGTATTAGTGTTCTTGTAAACGATTTGTCATCGCCAGAAGTCTGACCAAACGTAGGCTCCATGGGACATCAGAATTGCGTTATCGTATCTTTGTGGGAAAGATGGTTTTTTTGCAATGCCTACAGGGTATAACTAGTGTATAAATATCCATCTCAAGAACCTGTTTACAATTGCTTTGTTTCATTACTCTTAAACATGGTAGACATTACCAGGTGGATTAAATCTGGCAAAAGCAATACTGACTCCAGAAAAAAGTTTAATTGGACTTTGTTTTGAGTTGTGATAAATCATATATCAGATTTCAAAATATATGAATAAGCTCCTGTGAAATTCTTATTAAAAAATTCATCCTACAGGTCCTTGGATACAGACCACTTAAACCTGATATAATAATTCAAGATCCTCTAAATTTACATAATGAATCCTTAAGGTAGAACTGTTCCAAAAGAGTAACTTTCTGAAATGATATGTAGTTGTCCAAGAAAGCATCAAAGAAATTAGAGTTACCTAGAGGAACTGAAACTTTTGCAACTAAAGGGTTTAATAAGATCTCTGATGCGAATTCAGTGGTGATATAAAAAAGAACGAGCCTGCTTTAACCCTCTAACTCCAAGAAGTGATTAACATGTAACTTCTCGATTTAAAACATGTATGTATACATTATCCAGCAACCAGGTGACAAGGATACTTAAACTTATAAGGTAGAAGTTGTCATCTTGATCTAACACCAAATTCTTCTAACTATTTACAAGGAAATGTATGGCAGCCGGAGGGGAGAATTAGCCAGCACATCTTTGGAGTCATCAGGTCCCAGTTGTTGGATGGATGGATAATGCTATCCACTGTAAGAATCTCTATCCAGGAGATAGTGCAGTACATTTTGGTGACACTTATCGTTCAGATAGCAATTTATCCTTTGGTTAGCGCTATTCCCCTCCAAACAACTGGACTCGGTTTGCTACACTAACATGAAATCAAAAATTTAACAATGGAAAAAGTGAATGATTTTAGAGTTAACAGATTTAATTTTTTTTCCTTCCTTGATTTTGAAGTGTGTAAGCAAAGTAAAAGCAAATCTTTAAATAAAGATGAAAAATGTAAGAAATAAACAGAAAGAAAAAACACAAACAGACCAAAGAGAGCTAGCTTGTGATTTTTCTTTTTTCAGTTGCATTTGGGTGTGCTTTGGGTGTAGTTGAGTTGTTCAGTCAGTGGTACTTGAGGTTGTAAATTGCAATGTACTTTGCCACAACAAATGGCCAACACTGAAAATGCCATTTTTTTTTTATATAAAATTTGCTTCACTGGTAAAAGTTCTCTTCTTTGTCTTTGACAGCACATTATGAAGGAGGCGTGTGGAAAGTTAGAGTTGATTTGCCAGAAAAATACCCTTTCAAATCCCCCTCAATAGGTGAGTCTATGCCTTGAAAGCATTGAAAGTATTCCATGCACTTTAAAGGCAGCTCTGTCTGTTGATAATTGGGTTGGTGATGGGGAGGGGAAGGGGTAGTTGCTCTTAAATCATGGCAGGGTTTATGTTTCAGAGAATGGAGAATTCTTTGGCTGGTTTTCAGAATTCTCCAACTAAATTTCCAAGGCCTTAGCCCATTTTTTATTCAGTCATAGAGGATATTCTATCACTTGACACTCCTGCAACTATATTTCTCATTGAAAACTCTGATGCCATGTGTGATTTTTTGACCTTTGTTTCTGATAAGCTGACCCTTTCTAGGTTGATTTTTCATGTCTGCTTTGATTTTTACCTACTTTGATTATTATTATTTTTTTAGTTTAGAATTTCTGTGTTAGGTTGTGTTTTATTTGACATCTATTATTTCAATATGAATTACACGATGCAGATTTTTGTTTCTCTCTTTATCAAGGTTTCATTAACAAGATCTTTCATCCAAACATAGATGAAGCGTAAGTGTTCCCTGTACTTTAGATCAGTTCATTTTTGCTGAACATTTTTTCAGTGCAACCCACAGTTAACACCTGAGAACACAAACCCGTACTGACACCAATAGCTGGCTCACTCAAAGTGCACATAATTATGCCTTTTGACTATTCTCTGCTTTGTTTTTATTTGTAGATCTGGTACAGTATGCCTAGATGTAATTAACCAAGCTTGGACTGCTCTTTACGGTAAATGGTTGACTTATTTTGATAAGCCTATTTTTTTAGTTTCATGATATTGGTTGAGAGAAACAGTTCACTGGTTTTGATAGTTGATTTTTAATAGCCTCTTACATCTAAGGCTTTGCCATTCATTCATCCAACCTGTCAGGATAGCGTGAAAGGCGAGTGACATGTCAGCTGCTGATTGGCCACATGAAACCATCCTAATTTGATGCGTACAGCTTTTCTCAGAGCTGGAAATCATTGTAAAGCACTGCAGTTTCTGAAATAAAATTATTTTTCTGGATGGGGAGGTGCAGTGGCCTCATGGATAGTGCACTTGACTCTGGATCAAGTGGTCCAGGTTTGAGCCCTGGTTGGGGACATTTTGTTGTGATCTTGGAGAAGACACTTTACTTTTACAGTGCTTCTCTTCACCCGGAAAATGAATGGGTACCGGCAAATTTAATGCTGGAGGTAACCTTGCGATGGACCAGCATTCCATCTAGGGGGGAGTATAAGTACTCCTAGTTGCTTCATGCTACAGAAACTGGAGTTGAGTATCAGCCCAATGACCTACTTGGCTCATAAACACGCTTTACCTTTGATATTGAAATCAATAGTAATTTTATTGCAGATTTGTCAAATATCTTTGAATCCTTTCTTCCTCAACTTCTGTCATATCCTAACCCTGTGGATCCTTTGAATGGAGATGCTGCTGCTCTCTACCTACACAAACCTGAACAATACAAAGCAAAAATTCAAGGTAGTCATTCCTATCTGTACCTCAATGGAGTAATCGATTTAAAGATTAATTCCATATTGCCATTTGTCTGTTTATTAATAGATCAGATATGACGTCAAGTCAAAATGCGACAAAAACAAATGAGTAGCACACTTGGTGCACCAGAGTGTTACTGACATTCTCATGACGTTTTGAGATCTTCTGATTGTTCTGTTACTTCACAGACTGTCAGGCATTGTGAAACCTGATGTATCTTAGATATTTTAGACTTTTGCTGTTCAACTCTTTTTTAGAATATATCAAAAAGTATGCTACCGAAGAAGCGCTTAAAGATCAGGAGGAAATGTCTTCATCAAGTGAAAGCTCCATAAGTGACTTTTCAGAAGATGAAGCTCAGGACATGGAGCTCTGACATAAGAAAATATGATAATTTTTTTGTATTCTAGGTGCTGACAGATATACATATATTGTAGTAATGATCATTTGGTTCAAGTTTTGGTATCTTCTAGTTAAGGAATTTCTTTCCTTTTAAGATTCTTTCATTTGATTTTTAGAGCAGAAATACAAAGGCTTTCTCCCTATCTTGTAATTATTTTTTTATATTATTTCTTGAACTTTTTGTTCTAGTGAAGCTTGTGGAAATTTTTCACACTTCCTGCATTTTCAGTCAGTGGAGATGCCAAAACTTGACCAAAATTAATAATGATAACATTGTATAAATATTAAACGGTCTGTAACAATGTAAATTTGTGCCTTAATTTAAAATTTCAAAACTCGGAAATGGTTGCCTTGACGAGAAAAAGATCTTAAGTCTCTCTTTTCATTGTAATTTCTTCATTTATTTATTCTGAAAGCATTTATGTTCATAGTAATTAACACTTATATTTCGTTATCAGTCTCTTTATCTTGGGTAAGACACGTTTTCTAAAATGTAAATCTTAAATCTTTGAAAAAACATTTAAGGTTTTTTGAGGACAATTTTTTTGGTGGTAGGGCAACTTCACTCACCTAATTATTAATTCTGTGTTGGTACTAAATTGTTGTATTTAAAAAAAAAACAACCTATTTTACTTTAAATAGCAAGTTATGACTTAATCAGTTTTGAAACAAAAAATCTGTTTTGAAAATTTAACTTAAAATTTAACCTGAATTGCTACTGCATTAATCTCAAATTTTTATTAAAGTACAAGGGTTTTTTTGTTTAGTTTAAAAGATATTTTTAGCCAAAACAATTCGGTGGGTCTGGGCAGCCGTGTCTGAACACTATTCTTATATAACAATATGGGGAAAATCTAGATAAAGGACATCTGCAGTGCATGACAGTAATATTCGCCCCATTTTGTTTGGGAAAATATTGTATTATATTTGTAAATAGAGTTTTGGGGACTCATCAGTTCTCTGTAGGCAATGTAGTTCACTGGATTGCTGATACAAAGTGAATTATTACAGAGCAATTTTCAGTTAAGTGTCAAAAGGAATATAGAATTGATTCAGTTTGGTTTTCTTTCACTGTGCGATTGACGTAGGAAACTTACGTTATTCCCTCGACCAATCAAATGAAGAATTGATACCAACCGCGCCACTTTCACTTGCGTTTTCCCGCACGGAGTTGTGATTGGCTCGTTGCTTTTTTCCGTTTTTGATTGGCTGCTGTGACCGTTGTGATGACGTTGGTTCTGGTTTTACGACACTTAATCGGAAAGCGCTCTTTTGCTAATTACTGCGCAATTATCTAGGTAGAGGTGGTAGTGTGAGTTTTAACCACGTGTTAAATATGTAGGAATTGTACGATACGATCTAAAATCTAAGAATTTTGATTATTCTTGGTTCCACAGCAGCATACTGATTTTGATTAATATAATTAAACACTTGAATATCTATAAGATGGCTTTGCCGAAGGGGAAATTCTCACTGTTGCTGCACCTAATTGATGGACGAAGAACAGCGGCGCTTCGGCCTTTTCAATGATGTGTACTTTTTCGATTCGTTGTCCGCCATTTTGAAAATCTAATAGCGGGTGTTGAGGCGCGAGGAGAGCGAGACGCCTACCTCGCTTTGTGCAGCCGTTTTTTGAGCGATATCACTGCTGTAAGGGTTTAGATGTATCATCGTGTGCTTGCTTGCTTTAATAAAGGAGAGGAAAGTGTTGTGTAGTCAGTTGATTTGAAAGTATACTATGTCCATTTATCTCTTATCTGACTCGCTTGGTTTTGATGGGCTCGCCAAAATGGAAGAGGGCGGTTTTGCAGAATTTGCTAAGAGCTGAGTTTTCACTTTCTGGCAAATTCTTCGTAAATGTTCCGGTTGACAAGTTTCCTAACTGAAGTGCAGGTGCATAAATACATCGCGCTTTTCCAAGTTAAGTCTATTCTTTCAAAACTTGATAAACCAGGCTTTGATTAAGGATGATTATGAAGCCCAATTGAATCGATACTACACTGAACACGAACCCAACCTTTCTCTCCGATACGTTACGGATACTGTTTTCGATACTCTGAGGCGCAGGATAAAATCCCGTCCTAAAATCACTTTATTGGGATCGTCGACAAATATTGGCCGATTTGTTTAATATGTGTAATGAGCATTTTTATATGATAACACGTTATAATTTCATTATTGGTTTAAGGTCAATTAGTCACTTTATTCTTGTATCGTCTTCCTTTTGTGGAACAAGGGTAATTATGAATATTTGGGATGCTGTAGGTTTTCTGTTTACATGTGAATACAAATCTTCTCCAACACTACTTTCTAGCGTCATTACACGACCTCTAATTATTTTCAACGCTATAAACTTATGCTGTATTAGTAACCACAGGCAGTCTTGGACTATTTTTTTTAAAAATATTGTATAATGTATAATTGTATAATGCATTGCATTGTATAATGTGTTGTTAATTTTATTGCCAAAACAAACCTTATTTCATACGGTTTTACATCACGGAGACATCAAAACACCTTTGAATTAAGTTAATCATGATGTGTCCAAAGGCAGTTCGTCTTCTGGATTACACAAACAATAATTTACAAGAACGTTAAGTTTTTCTCCGGTTATTTCAAGTTAGACCCGATAGAATAGGAGAAGAGAAATAACAGAAATTACAGAAATGCAATTACCTTTCTCAAATCACTGAGGTGACATTATAGTGGATGTAGTGTGCAAAATATAGTAAGAATGCACAGTGATTGTACTAAAAGCCAACGATTAAAAAAAAAAAAAACAGAATTAAGCCGTCATTTAAGTCCTCCTAAATCTGATCTGCCATATTTAATAAGAATAAATAATAAGAAACATGCTCTTCCCAAACTAATAAGGCCGTGCTAGCGCCAAATTTTAATAGCGAATCCCCACATTACTTGTTCCTAAGCTTCGCATATCCACGAGTTAAAAAAAAAAAACACACCTTCACGGATTTCGGTCGGAGCTTTCAACGCAATTTTTAAAACTTATACTCATGCATTTAATTACGCATACTAAGGGACGGGGAGAAGGGAGTGGAAAGATAGAGCCGGAGTCGGAAGATTTTGGTATGTCGAAAAAATTTACTTGATTCTCTCCTTGAGGTTCTGAAGCATTCTTGTGATTCCCACTAATTGGCAGTCAATTTTGTACAGTCCCCCCCTTCATACTCTGTTAGCGATGACTGATCCCCCCCAAATCCATCGGACTCCCCGACGATACAAAATTACCGGTCCATATATAACAAACGTGTTTTCTATGCCAAAACATGCACAGAATGCAATTTTCCAATCGTGTAACCAGTATAAAACTTTACCACTTTATTTCTCAGGCTAGAATTTGCCAATGGAATTATATTGTCAATTTACCCTTCACTAATTTTTTTTTTTTTTTCGTATAAGCAATCCAGGCCTGAGTGGGGGACATGACATTATCTATCGCTAGGGAGGTCGGAGAATTTTGGGGGATCACATGTTTCTCCGGAGGAACAGAGAGGAGATGATTTTTTCGCCAAAAGAGCATAAAGGGAGAAAGCGGGGGCCATAGAAAAGGACTGCCAATTAACAGCCAATGATGCAGTTTAAAGTGAGAGTTTATCGATCCCTGGGATTGTTCTTTAAATAAAAATCTTTTTTTGCGAATTGCCATTGGTATTAATATTAGATGCACACACGTCTAACACATCATCGAAAAAAAAAAACCCAAACACTTAGAAAGAAATTGAGGCTTTTGTCGATGGATTTATGTCTAGCATTCGATACCAAGATTAACCAACAGATCATTGAGCATTATCAGTTTTGTTTCACTGTCAAATTGTCCACTTTCGTTTTCATCTGACGTGATACTGGGTAGAACGCCTTTGTACAAATGGAAGCGAATGTCGTCCACAACAGGGATGGAGTCCGTCTGTTGGCGATCTCGAACAGAAGACGCATCCTCCAGAATCAGCGCATGAAATTCTTCGTTATCAAGAAACTGCAAATTTAAACCGAACAAAGATGGTTTCATTGACCTCGTATATGGAGTGAACATTAGCTAACACCATCAGTACACTGGTATCATAGAACACCCCTCTTCCGAGAGGAGACGCTAGTTCCCTTTACCAGGGGTTACCCCCAGGGGTTACCCCCACGTCCCCTATCTCCCTTCCCTCCCCTTCGCATCTCTTCAGGTTCCCCTGACAATTTTTTGGCCGCCATTTTTACATCTGGGAGGAGAGAGACTTTTAAAAGAGAGAGTAAGAATAAAGTGTCTTGTTCAAGAACACGACACAATGACCACGACCCGCGAACACAATTCAGACCCAGACCTCTTCCTATGGAGTCTTCTTCAACTGCTCCGCACAATTCATTGGGCCATCATCTCGGATTTGATGGTCGAACCACTAATTTCATGACCAGGAAGAGAACAAAACTACTCTCGATACAGGACCAGGGAGGGTGCCGTTGTGTCCTCTTCCCAGACTCCTCGCACATCTGATTTGTCTTTCGCATGCAAACTATTGAAAGACTTTTGCGTAAGGAAAAAACAGAGAAATTATTAGCAGTAATCACTCTTTACCATTTCTAGATGTTTACTTGTATATTCACAGCAGTCCACTTCAAGCCTTGGCAGGTTGAAGAGACGAGCCGTCCTCAAAACCGTCAAAACGTTTTCTGTGTCGAGAAACGCGCTTATCACACGCGCACATAGGCGCTTCAAGCCGCCGAGAAGATAGACATCAGCAAAGCAGAGTACACTGTAAACGTTTTCTTCAGTTACCTGGACCGAAAAAAGAAAGAGAAAAATATACATTTGTATCAGCGTTCACTCCTGTTTGAATAATTAACGCCCTCTTAATAAACCCTCCTTTTAACTAAGCGGCAGTATTACTGTTTGGCCAACGTGGAACGAAGTCTGCAAACCAATGGGCGAGTGTGCAGTTCATGCAAACGAAGTAAATTTCTCAGATCTATTACTCTACAAACCTCTTCTTGATGTTCACGCGCCGTGCGGAACTCTGGGAGTAAGGCATCCGATCTCCCAGAATTCTGGGCGGCGCGCATTATTTTTCACTTGCGCGACATGATTGCTTATAGTCTAAATCTGTTTACACAACATAACACTCACCAAAGCTTCATCTTGGTAAATAAAAGCTACAACAGCCGCAAACACGTCTGATGTTACATCATTGAGGTAAACTTCAGGAATAGACGCACTAAACAACTGTTTACCAGGCGAGGTGGACTCCGAAAAGTGGCCGTCTAACAACGCTCGAAAATAGTCGCTTCTTCCGCAGAAAAACACCTTAAGTTAAGAAAAAAAGCTACAGGAATTAATGCGAGTATTATACAGAAGATCAGCGGTGTATTTAACGGCAATACTGATCTGATCTGTTGAGTTAAGAAGGAGACGTAAATGGGGGACTAAGATTCACTTCAGCAAATTAGGGAGGTGGCTATGGGTAAGGGAGTGCCCGACGGGTTATGAATCCTCCTTCCCGATTTTTAGTTTTATAATAATCTTAGGAAACCCCTTTTGAAAATCCTACAAGTGCCCATGACAGATGAGAATGGAAACCCCCCTCCCCCTCCCACATCGGTTGGAGTGAGAACCTGATGATTAGACCGCTGGACTCTGGGTCAAGAGGCCTGGTTTCGAGACCTGGCCGGGTCAGTGCTTCCCTCCACCCAGGGGTAGAAATTAGTACCGGTCGGCAATTTTTCAGGGAAGCCTGATGAAACGCTGTGGGGCAACATTGCTGTGGACGGGCATCCCATCCAGGAGGAGGGGGGGGGGGTTGCGAAACTCCTAGTCGCGTCATGTTCAGGAAACCGGATCAAGTTCCCGCTCAATGGGCCACCCGACTCAAGTACAGACTTCACCTTTTACCCGCCAGTTTGGACAACATGTAGGACGGCACACCCTAGCGGCCTCGTCGCGTGGACATGTTGAAGCCACGCTTTCCCCAAGCGTGACTTTTCCACTTTCTACTCAACAATTACATTACATGGAGTTCTTGCGAAATTTAACATGGAATTTATAGGCCTTGCTGCAATGTTACCTTATGGCAGTAGAATCTTTGGTTCTCAACGACGAAACACACATCGGAGTACAACGGCGGTTCATCACAGACAACTGAAACTAAAACAGAAACACACGACGTGGAAAAGTAAAGTCAAATAGTGACTGGCTTCTAATTTCTCCTTTCAGTGTCTCCCTTTTAAAAGTCACACGTAAAGGTCATGAGAATTAAGGAAATGATCACCAATTAAAGAAGCTCCTAGTTGTCAAACAAATTCTCCTTGTCAGATCCATAGTCAATATTAGACAAGATTGTGGAGAATATGAATGTCGATGTTTCTCGCTCGAATATTTGATTTCAGGCTAAGTCAACTGGTGAGTATAATAGAGAGCATTTTCAAAACAAACCTAAACAAAAAACTTAATACAAACCATCAAAGACATCGGAGGATATCTCAAAAGGAAACTGCCTTGGAAATTGCTGACAAAAAAAAAAAGAAAGAAAACATCATCAGTAACGTCAAACCAGGGAAAGTCCCTTTTTCTTGAGTCTCCTTTTTTTGCCTCAATCCAAGAATAGGCACTGTGGGGTTGCGTCGGTAGGGGAGTATAACAAGATAATTTGATTTTATTACACGACTCGGGCAGTCAGAGGGCCAATAACTAAAATCAACCAATCAAAATGCTCTATTCCCGGTCCAATATTCTCTAAGTATTGGACCGGGCACTGTCCCGAATGGTCCCGAATGATACCGCACTTGTGTCCCTTTGAACTTCAGTCGTATAATAAATCTCTTATTAGCCAAGCTTGCTCGGGACCGTACTGGAAGAATATCAGCCTTCGGTCTTTTTTGTACGGACCTCGCTGCGCTCGGTCCGTACTGTCAAGACCTCAGGCCGATATTCTCCCAGTACGGCCCTCGCACTTGATTAATAAGATATAATTATCAACCGTGTTGATAATGTATATTGGCCACCGTAAAGAGTTTCATAGCTACGACAGGACAGATAGAGTGACAGACTGACACAGACAGTGAGATAGACAGACAGACAGACAGACTGACACAGACAGTGAGATAGACAGACAGACAGACAGAATGACAGACTGACACAGACAGTGAGATAGATAGACAGAGTGACAGAATGACAGACTGACACAGACAGTGAGATAGATAGACAGACAGACAGAATGACAGACTAACACAGACAGTGAGATAGATAGACAGACAGACAGAGTGACAGACTGACACAGACAGTGAGATAGATAGACAGACAGACAGAATGACAGACTGACACAGACAGTGAGATAGATAGACAGAGTGACAGACTGACACAGACAGTGAGATAGATAGACAGACAGAGTGACAGACTGACACAGACAGTGAGACAGACAGATAGACAGACAGAGTGACAGACTGACACAGACAGTGAGACAGACAGATAGACAGACAGAGTGACAGACTGACACAGACAGTGAGATAGACAGACAGATAGACAGAGACAGACTGACACAGACAGTGAGATAGATAGATAGACAGACAGACAGAGTGAGACTGACACAGACAGTGAGATAGACAGACAGACAGAGTGACAGACTGACACAGACAGTGAGATAGACAGACAGACAGACAGAGTGACAGACTGACACAGACAGTGAGACAGACAGATAGACAGACAGACAGGGTGACAGACTGACACAGACAGTGAGATAGACAGACAGACAGACAGACTGACAGACAGGCGAACAGGCAGAAAGACAGACCAGCAGCAATAAAATCTCACCTGAGACACCAGCGCAGAGGGTAAGGCAGACTCTGCTAGATGGGCGAATGCATCTTGCAAGCTTGTGGATCTGGACTCCGGTTCGATGCTGACCACTGTTATTGCTCGAGTTTTTGTTTTGGACGTTCCTGATAAACATAACAGCACAGTGTCGCACCCAGTTTCAGGTTTAGTTGGAGCTGAGCTGAGTTTGAGACTGACCGACAATATGATTCAGGGGCGAATCCAGTGATTGCTGACAGGCGTCAAAACTTTGATGAATAGGGAGGGGACGGTTTGGCTTGAAGAGTGGTTAAGGGGGGAGGGGGAAGGAGAATTGGAAGGTTTAGCGCATGAAGTGGAGGGGAAGAAAAGGTTGAGAATAAAAGTCACGAAAAGTGAGAAAAATAATGAGGATAGAGGCAGGGGTATCAACAACTGTCTCTAAACGCGGCTGCCGATCCATTGTGTAATGGGCGGCTGCGCCAGGAAAAAGGTAGAGCGCTGCACCAGTATCGCAGAGGTCATAGGTTCGAATCCCGGACAGGCCTGAATTTTTTTCAGGTCTTCTTTTCATTACTGCTTAAGTAGTGCTTCTCACTGTGAAGATCGTTCTCATAAGCGTTTCTTTAACCGCAATTCAAATATATGATTTTCATATATTCAGAGCAGTTAAAAAGGTAGCTTAGGGCGAATCTAAACATGATTTACTGGCGAGTTTTCCCTTCGCTACAAAAATATTCTAATGACCGGAAGGAAAGATTAAATGCGTGCAAACATTAGAGAAAATGTAGAGTTTTCTTGGAATTTCTTCCTTACCAAAAAGTTCTATGCTATTTAGTCTTATCTCGAGCTGCGTCTTGAGATCTTCCAGTTTACATTGCCTAGCTAGTCGGATGCAATCGTCAATTTTGTCTTTCTCGATGTGTACTCGATCGGTGTACAAGTATTGAAGAATGGCCCGCATAGCCCACAGTTTGACCTGAAAGGACACATTATATACCATATGATAAGGGAAGTCATCAGTTAGGAGAGCTGTCTTTAAGATTTAGAGTGGAAGGGTCATAAAAGCTTAAATGTAGTCCAGCTCGAATTCGAGAACGGAAATAGCCTCCCGTTTATGATCCTGGACGACGTCGCTTGAGGACCAGTAGTTATCTATCGCCCTGGGAGGGGGAGAGGAGGATTTTAGAAGGAACACCTTTTTTTCAGGGGGAATGGAAGAAGGACCAGTTGTCACCAATAAAGTTTAAAGGGAGGACTACCAAGCAAGCCCTCATTATCCACGCTTCGTTACGAACGTTTCGTCGCCCGCACAAGATGTCTGCAGGGGGATTAGCACTGATAATCACTGCCAGGCCCCCAGAAACTTCTCCCTCTAGACACTTCTCGTCTCGTCTTGAGGGTGGAGAAACACCCGTCTTGCAGTGCTACAAATAACGATGGCCAATTCATAAGCTACCTGTATATGAGTTCTCCGTACACAAATTTAAGACCATCAATTTTTCTCTCAACTGTAACTCTATCTTACCAGTTTGTTCTTTAACTCGATGATAGGACGGTCACGCCATTTACTCATAAACATTTCAGCGAAGTATGAAGAGCGCGCGGACAAAATCAAACGATGAGCCGCTAAAGGGACACCATGGACTATGAAGCATACATCTGCGTGCGGTGAGTCCTCCAGGCATCTGAAAAACAGGATTTGCGGAGTAAGAACGGTTTTCAGTCGAGTGTCGAATGTAATCCATGATTGCTTTGGTTTTAGTTAACTTCGCTCCGTGATTGCGTCTTGAAATTTCCCGACACCATCTCCATCAACCAGATTAAAAACTTAAAACCAAGCCTCACGTGGTCATTCGCGTTTTCCCGCGTCTCAAGCAGTTCAACGTAACTTCGCTCTGTGATTGGTCCAGACAACTCTTGACATCTTCCCCGCCAATTAGATTAAAAACTGAAAACAAGCTAAGCAGTGTGTCGTGGTCAATTGCGTTTTCCCGCGTTTCAAGCAGCTTTACATAACTTCGCTCTGTGATCGGTCCAGACAACTCTCGACACCATCTCCACTAATCAGGAATTTTATTTTAGAGCAGAGAGAAGAAATAGTACAAGCACTTTCTAATGCGTCGAGAAATTCACCTGCAAATTTCGCCTAAAAAGTTCATAATTAGAATTACCTTCTCAGAAATTCTCTGTAGGAGTCTCGTCTCATGCATTCAGATGTAATAGCCTTGTAGCTCTTGAGAAGGCTTCTGATCTTGTCCGTCAACGCCGCATACAAACAGCGCTCCCCGTCAAATGTGTTTGGAGCACAACGGGCCCCTAATGGGCAATTAAGAAAAAAAAATACAAGGCCTCAGTATGGTGACGGCTTTTACAGCCAACGGTTAAAAATTTGTTTAGCAGTGCGAACAAAAACTTTCACGGTTAACTCTTTTTTACGACTATTCTAACGGTTAAAATTTGTCAAATTTTACGCCTGTCGACTAAATTTTTTTGGGCGTTTACGGGCAAAGGTCAACTCCATTGACGCCCTCGAAATAAACTGAAGTTAATCGAATCCAATTTTAAAGATAGCAAGCAAAATAATAGCATGAAACATTTTCCTTAGAAAGTAAAATTGACTTGGGAAAACGAAACGCGACAGTTTCGGCGCATTTTGGATAAAAAATTCCAATGCAAAGGTGAGTGTAATGCCATTATCAATTCGGCACGTATTATCGTAGTCTCGAAAGAAACATTTAGCGAGAACCTATTGTTCTAAATGCACTTGGTAGCAGATCTGCGCATCAAACGTTGTTCTTCAAAATGACAAGGGTTGGTTAAAAAAATCAACGATAATAGTAATGATAATAAGAAACAAGAGTTAAACCGGTTTCAAGCCGGAATGGACAAAAAAAACCCCACCGTTTTGCAACAGGTATTCCACCAACTCATGATGTCCACAAAGACAAGCGTAGTATCTAGGGAATCACGAAACCATGAAATGGAAAAAAGGGAAGAAAATAAAAGAAAAATAATGAGAAAAGAAAATACCAAAGATGCTATATAAGTCATACTTACAACGGTGTACTGTCCCAGGAATCTCGTAGATTCAACTCCGTTTCTCCGTTCTCCACAAGATATCTACACAAAAATTCAACAATGTATGACAGTCGTGTGAAAAAGCGACAAAATGTGAATCAAACAAGTAATCAGGGAGTCATAAACCTCAAGACATGTCCAGGTATTCAAGTTGATGATGTGGCAAAGAAGTCATAGGCTTTAGCGTCTTCATATTTACCCAACAGTTCTTAACTTAGCGCGCAAGCCGTTTTCACTGCTCGATCTCTCTCTTCTCTAACGGGGGAAGTATGCTCCAGAGCTTGTGCCCCTCCCCCCCCCCTTACCCCTCAACCCCAGGGCCTTTTCCCTTAGCTGGGGTGGGGCGGGGAAAAGGCCCTTGGAACGAGGTTTCTCCCCCCTCATCCCTCTTTGGGGGTCATCCTCGGTGTAAAAACCTGACGAGGTTTTCGTTGTTTCATGAGGTATTGTTTTGCTGTATGCTATTGTTTATAATGTTTTGTTGTCTTAGTTTTACGTCACTCGTGAGCTTCACAGGTTTTTACACCGAGGATGAGCCCTCTTTGGGATTTATGCGACAATGCAAACTGAGAAAAATATGGCTTTAAGATTGCTTGAAAAGTGACAAGAAAAAACCTTGATTGAAAAGCTCACCAAAATGCGCCAAAGGGCATGTTTAAATTTTTAAAATCTTCAAGAGGACGATGCCTCTATTCTGGCCTCCCATAATGCAACATAATCGTTGCTCACATTTTAAGATCTCGTTCCAAAGGGCTTGAAGTTTTGCGGTCTTAGTTGAAGGCCAGCCTTGTCTTTGGAAAATTCTCTCGCATTTCAGAGCATAATTCATCGAAATTTCTCGAAATGGCTCGGAAACGAACTGCATCAGTTCTTCCGAAGTGTCAAAGTGTCCAGGTGGTAAAACTGCAAACCCGTCGGAAGACTCATCACTTGTCAAAATAGATGTGTTGAAGGATAGTTTCGAAACGGTTTTCAGAAAATGATTTGAAGTATTAACAAACAACCGAAAGATATCTCGGTATAAAATTTTGTTTTTGTTATTAAGGTTTGTTTTTTATTTCGTTTCGATCAGCTAAACTGATAGAACCGGCTTGCCTTGCTCGGTTTTCTACGAAAAAATTTGCTTAAAGAGGTAGGAAACCTGAAAAGAGTATAATATCATTTTGCACGGACCATGCCTCGTCCCATATGTAAAACTTGAAGAAGTTTAGAATCAGTCGAGGGAATATATTACAGATGCACTCACTTGACGCTAGCGAATTTCAAATTCATATCGGGCGTTTGCTGTCACCTGTTACAATTTTACGTTAATTTCGGTCAGCATTTTGCAAGATGCAGCTCATTTAATCCATTCTTCGAGTATACTTTGCACTCATTCAAGTTGTTAGTTTGATATATACCCGAACTAAAAGCGAGCGCGAAATGTACAACGTCTGAAATTAACATGCACAGCTTCTGAAATTAACATGTTCAAAGATAGCTCAAAATTCCCACCGCTAAAAATCCACCAGAGTTACCTTAAGAATTCTTACCTGACTCGATCGAGGTCACCTCGACGGCAACTCTGAAAAAGATCCATCGCAAACAAAAGTTTTGGATCGAATGGACTTAATTCCTGCAGTTTCTTCGAGGCTGCTAAAATTGGCTGTTATGATTGAGGTTTGTTTACATTTTTTGCGCATGACACATGAATCCGCTGACTCCTCAAAAGTGCCAAAATATCCTTGAATATGCGAGGTTACGTTTAGTTCTGATGGGGATTTTGATTGAGAAATTCAAGGATTTACTCGTTTAGAATGCCAAAGCGCAGTCACAGAGCCCCTAAAAAATCTGATCGAGAAGGAAGACCTCCAGAATTGACGCTAGCAAGTTTTTTGAGTGGTTCGCTCGCTGCGCAAACTTCAGTTGTCAGCGAAAGGGCTTCCTCCACAGATCAAGGGGTTTTAGTGGGAACGAGATCAGCCTCAGAAGAGGAGGAAACAGCGAAAGAAACGATTGGGTTTTCAGTCAAACGTACAAAGAAAGGGAAGATTCCTATTTCGTACGAAAATCGTTCCAAAGGAAAGAAGGTTACAGTTATCAGTAACGTTACCGGCGATCCAAGCATTTTGTTACAAGAACTTAAAAAGAAAATCGGAGCTGGTGGAGTCGTAAGAGGAGAGACTGTGGAGATACAGGGAGATCATCAAGTTTTGGTGGAGAACTTTTTAACTGGCCATCCCTGTTTGAAATAGAAGCCGTCATCAAAGAGTACAAAAATTTCCTCTCCCCCTGTCCACTGGAAAACAGTTTTATCTACCCACAGATCTATGCGCGTTGAAATTCAAGATGGCTGCCAACATGACCTAGCAAGTTTTTCGCACGAAATTTAGGCCCATTTGATTGAAATGAAACTGAGAGCTGTCTTGAATAGGCGCAGAGAAGTGCTTGAATTGTCAGGGGATGCAATAACCTTGAGTCATTTCCGACAAGCTGTCCAAAGAAAATTTGTCTTGAGGTAATAATAACGTACACAAGTGTACTTAATTATCGTTTTTTCAGTTTGGTTTTTAAATAATAAGTAATTTTAAATTCTCGTGGAATTTTCCAGAGAAAGCAGTTTTCATCTGAGCCTGAATGGCCAAGATGTTTTGGAGAATGACTCGTTACTCCTCACAGACCTGGGAATAGTAAATGGTGACTTGATCCACGTTCTGTGCATCAGAGATGAGCTCGAGGAAGAAACTACATAAGATAACCTCGATACACCTGGCTCCTCAAAATCGACTGCACAAATTAGTCATACACCCTCTTGTCATACATTTTCCACAGAACCAGTAGCTGGTCCATCAGAGGTAAAGTAATTTGTTTTAACTCTTTCACTTCCTAGATCTCATGTGTAATTATCCATAATTTCTGCCATACAATTCGTATATTTAATATTGGTTCTGAGAAACTGGCATTGGATCAATTAATAACCCTTTTCATTTGTATTTCCTTTGTTCTCATAACTTTTCCTCTTGATATCATACTGATATTTTAAGGAGAAATTTACTTTTGATCACTCATGAGAGCTAACTTTAAAAGGTTTTAACTCTCAAAATCCCAGCCATGTAGTTCCTAGCTAACACTACTTTAACATTTTTAACAAATCTCAGTATGTATGAAATAAAAACATCATACTATGGAGAATGCTACAACAATTTTTATTCACCCGTTGTGATGTGACAAACACTCCCTTGTTCATTTTTCTTTAGCATTGCAACTTGTAAATATTAATTGTTGATGCACATTTTCCTTGGACTAATCTCATTCTTAACTGTGTGTACATATAGGTGAGGTCAGTGTTGTCTGCGCATAAAGAACAACATGATGGACAGAGCAAAGGAAAAACCAGAAATGCAGAAGCTGAAAAGGTTCAGCATTGTCCAGGATCTTTTACATCTGTGTCAAGTGTAGGATCTGTGTCATCAGTCAGATCTCTGGTTCTTTGTCGGGAGGGAATACCACCAATGTTAGACGACTTGTACAGAGCTGCAGAGGTTGGAACCATTCATGAGGCAGCATGGGTTGTAATCCATGTTTTGATGTTAGAGACTGGCTTCATCTGTGGATCAGAGGTTTGTTATGATTGCTTGCATGCCCTTGTAGCTGTTAGGGATATGCTGCCCTTACTGAAAAGCATAAATGGAGACAAGATATATATCTTACTAACTAATCGCAAGGGCCTTACTGGGAGAATATCGGCCTGAGGTCTTGACAGTACAGACCAAGCGCAGCGAGGTCCGTACAAAAAAGACCAAAGGATGATATTCTTCCAGTACAGTCCCAAGCAAGCTTGGTTAATAAGAGATTTATTATACAACTGAAATTCAAAGGGACACAAGTGCAGTATCATTCAGGACCATTTGGGACAGTGCCTGGTCCAATACTGAAAGAATATTGACCGGCGATAGAGCATTTTGATTGGTTGATTTTAGTTATTGGCCCTCTGACTGCCCGAGTCGTGTAATAAAACTCAGGGTTGTTGCTGTCAGTGCCAGCTACTGGTGAAATATGCCAGATGAAGAAGAGCACTTTGCGGGCTGGATTTTTGGTTGGGGATTGCTTGGTAAAGTACAACTGGCACTTCTGAGGTTGTGCATTTACAAATAATGGATATCAAAATTAATGCTATTGCATAATTGAAAAGAATTAAGCATATACCTGACTCACCTGAGCTTTGTGACAAAATTTAATAAGAACTCCTGGACCAACCAGCAAATCGCCAAGTAAAATTGTCATCCAAACTTCCAAAACTAAGGCCTTGTTGGGCTGTAATCCCCAGGAATCAGCAGAAAGGGAAGAAACAGAGGAATTGAACAAAGCTGTGCCCTCCAAGATATGGAATAAAGGAGGTGTTGTAAAAGTGATGTACACACATCCATCTTGTCCTGGTTTAACCTGCTCCCTGACGTGCACCTCTCTAGGACCTTATATGATGCTACATGGTATGTCTCTAGTAATATGTAATCAAAACTTTGTTGTTGTTGAATGTTTGTTGTCTGTGTGCAATTTTTCAATTAGATGTTCTCTCTCTTGCTCTTAGGTCTAGCTAATTCAGTTGAAAAAAGTGACATATATCAATGCAAGTTACAACCTACTGACTTTGTCAGGGGAAGTGTGGATCTCAAAACAAGTGGTGAGTGCTAAGACACAAAAGCCACTACTAAGAATGAACTTCCAAAGAGATCATTATCAGTGCTCCAAGGTGCAAGCCCTTGGGTGGCTATGGTAACTAGCAAAATTTTACTTCTAAATTTTCAGTGCCAGTCAACCTGAGTTCAGGGATCATCAAGCAAGTTGCAATTAACAATTATTCCACTAGCGTGCATTGGATATGAGATGATAAATAACCAGTGAGGCGTGTAGTGCCAAGTTGGCTATAATCATATCATATCCAACAAGCGCAAGTGGAATAATTGTTATATTAATAAAAAAAGTGCCCAAGATATTAGAAAGATCTTCTCAACTTTATTTTGTAAGAAGAAACCGGATGTCACAATGTACAGATATCAGATTATGGTACATTGGCTCATATACCATAATGGCTAAGCCAATAAAAAGTCTTGAATTGCATTATCCAAAGATCCAGTTTTTAGTAATGTTTACTATCTTACTAATAGTTAATTTTCATGGTCCAAGTGAGTTAAATATTTTCATTGAATATCACTCGTGCTGTGTTGCTTTCTTTTAAAAATAATTGCCTCTTTTTCCTCGGACATGAAAAGAGGATATGACTATCCCCTTACTTGTCATAACAGCACCCAAGTTTCAACTTGCAGTTTTTCCAAACGTTTTCATTCAGAAGATGCGTTTTAATATCAAAGTAATCACCAAGTAATCACTGGCCAAAATCTAGCTGTCAGTTACCTCTTTCTCAGCTAGCAGCAGACGCTTAGCAGCATTTCTCTGTTCAGTGCGCTGGATTGCAGGTTGAAATGTCGTGGTTCAACTCCTAGTTATAACAGTGTGATTTTGAGCAAGAGGCCCAACCTCAACATTACATCTTATTCCCAAGAAGGTGAAATGGGTAAATTGTAAGGAAACTTGGTATTTTAAATTTTGTGACAATTTCTTCTTTTTTTTATCAATTTCTGCAGGAGCCTCCTCAGTATATTATAATCTTCATCGACTGTCAAGACTGTACAAGGATCAAGTTGCATATCCATTGTTGTCCTTTATGAGGGCTGGTGAGCAGTTTTCCCTTTTTCGGTAGTTGCTATTGCTTCTTGAATATTGGTTCTTGAACTGAATGATAATCAATTACTTAGTGTTCATGTGGGCTCAATTTTTCTAATAACGAATTCTATAGTTTTGATAAACCCTTTCTCTCCCGAGATCTGATTGTTTATTCTCCTCTCTAATTGCTACAC